GGAGGATAAGAAATGAGAAGGGAAGAGAAAGAAGAAGGGAAGAAGAAGGGAGGAGAAGGAGAAGACAGGAACAAGAAGGAGAAGGAGAAGAAAATGAGACGGGAAGAGAAAGAAGAAGGGAAAGAGAAGGAGAAAGGAGGAGAAGAAAAAGAGAAGGGAAGAGAAGGAAAAGGGAGGAGAAAGAGAAGAAAAGGAGAGGAGAAGGGAAGGAGAAGCTTTTCCAAAGGGCGAAGAATGCCATTTCCCAAAAGAGATGATGCCTTGGCCACTGACTTGATGAGCTCCTTCCAGCCCTGGAGGTATTCCCGGATGAGGACCTCTCCTTTGGGCGTGAGGCTGGCCAGGAAGGCGCTCTCCATGTCCTGGATGCGGAACCCGGAGCCTTGCGGAGATGGGGTGCACACTGGGGGCGCAGAGGGCGCATTGGACACTTTGGGGGGAGCATCATGCACCTTTGGGGGTGCCTTTGTGGGTGCGGGAACAAGCAGCAGCTGTGGGCAGAGGAAAAGCACAGAGTGGGGCTGAGATGGTTAGAAAGATGCCCCTCCCAGCCATTGAACACCACTAGGGATTCATAGTTTTCCAAGGGAATGAGACAAAGCAGCATCCTCTCCTTCACATGAAGCCCCCCACCTCACCCCAAGACTTTTCCAAGCTGAACCCCTCCCCTGGGGTGGCTCTAAAGCAGGTGTAGGCACACCTGGGCCCTTCCTCCAGGTGTTTTGGACTTCAACTCCACTTGGAACTGGGAGCTCCTGGGATCAAGGAACTCTATGGATGGGCCCCGACCAGGTGTTGTTTGCCCTTAGGGAACCCCACTTCCCATCTAGACGTTCCCATTTCTTACCTTCTCTGGTTCCTCTTTGTGGGCAGGGGTCCCGCCAAACCAGCGGCAGGGTCGGCCCCCCGAGAGGCAAGCAGAAAACGGGGGATCTGCTGGGGAGCAAGCGAAGGGAAAGAATGTTGGAAACAGCCACCTTCTACAAGCCACCTACAAGCCTCCAATCTGACCCCTGGGAATTTTAATGAGCAGCCAGATAGGGAGATGAAGAATAGGCGGCTGGAGATCAGCCAGGATCGACAGCAAACTCAGTGTTTACGTCGCTCCAAAAGGCTTCGTCTGATAAGGGCTAAATGTGGGGGAAAGCAAAACCAATTTCTGAGTTTTGGGATATAAGGTTTGCTTCAAGGGGAAACCTGTTAGATCAGGCATCGTTTGGAAATCAAGTTCATGTGCCTTGGAAATCCTGTTCAAGGGGGTCTTGTTCCTGTGGATGCTTCTAGCCTTTTGGTGTTGACTAGCAGCATTTGGATTGTCTTTGCATCCTGTTGATTCCTATTGGATATATACTGCCCTGGACTGCTTTTATATCTTTTATGGACATTGCTTTGAGTTACTGCATTTTACTGACCTTTGGCTTTTTGGAACTTTCCTATTTTCTTACAAGCATTTCTTTCTGCTGGCTATTGTATTAAGCTTCAATAAAAAGGGATTTGTTTCTTCACTCAACGTGTGGTGTGTTTCAAAGTCAGGGGGCTTTTCCTGTCCTGGGGTGCAACATGGATATTATTTACCACTAAAGAGAAGACTCGCTCAAATGAATTTTTAGCTCTTCTCAGGAAGATCATACTTTTGTCAGGAGTCAATTTCTGATGGCATGAAGACATCACAAATTCTCTCTGTGACATCTTGACTGAATCAATTCCCTCGGTAACTTCCTGAAGCTAACAGAAGGTGTTGGAAACCATGTTATGGAACTTGTGAAGCAACAAGTTCTCATAAGAAAACTGAGAATGTTAGAGACCTGAAATTGGGTCTTCTTAGGTCCACATCACGGGAGCACATAAGGAGGGAGACAGTCCCCCCCC